AAACTTGGCAGGTTTCATGCTCTCAGCAGAGGCTACCATCCCTGCAAGTTTCATCCAAATCAGACAAAAAACAACAAAGGTATAGATATTTCATTGATTCCCTCATTGTACCCTATGGCCGGATCTCCAAGGTGGCTCCGAAGCTTTGGCCGGATCGAGGTGGAAACCCGGTCTGGAGATCTGGATCGGATCGCGGCCATCGGAAGCGGCTGGATCTGAAGCCTGATCAGATCGCTGCCGACTTGCACAAGCCTAGTATTCACACGCTCAGCAGGTGTAAATGGTCAAGCCTATTGACTAATTCAGTTTTGCGTGGTCCGTCCCCTGAAGCTGTCTGGACTGAAGGAAAATCAGCGGGTATCTTTCTACTTGATTATGTTTACAGCAGCCAATACTTACTACTGAGGTGCTGAGGAATGTCTTCAGGGTGGGCACCCGATAGCTGGCATAAACTGTGAGAGGTCCATTGCTGGATCTGCTCCAACCTTGTTCAAGGCCTGTGCCATTATGGGAACAGGGGGAACAGGTCAAATTCTCCAAGCCCAGCTGTACCACCCAAAGACCATGCTCCTGTGCATCAGCGACTTGGGATAATCTGAGTGCTGAGATCCTGTGCTGACTACTGCCCTTGGCCAGCTTGGTACAGTGGGAGAGTTCAGCTTCATTTAGAGCAGGGGTGTCAAACAAATAGCTTATGGGCTGGATCTGACCTCTGGAGCTGTACGATTCGGCCCACTGGTCACTGAACCAACCCCATGTGCCAGCTCAGGCTCCATGTGCTGCAGACAGCAGAGGTGGTTGGTCTCTTCACTGCATGAAGCCCACACCCCGGGCTCCCTGAGCCATGTGTTGCATCAGGTCCAGCCCGTGTGTCACAGGCCATGGGCAACTGGTGCCTCCTGAGGAGGGGGGAGGGGGCACTTGCCCCCCCAGCAGCCAGTCAGTGACTGGGGGGCGGGGCACAATTAGCCGCAGGGGAACCTCTCTGGTCAGTATGATCAGCCATGGGGGGATTGCGGGGATCACTTCTCCTGGCACCCGCACACTCCGGCTGGTGCTCTCGGGGGGGCACCAGCACTCTCGCCTGCCCCCTCTGTCTGTTGCCTAAGTGGGGAGCACTGGCTGTGAGGGATGAACCAGCACTCTCATGGGGTGCATGTGCACCCCCATGTAGCCCCTATGCGTAGCCACTACTACAGGCAACGTGCTGTGTTGGCCCTGGGGGGGGGTGTGCATGGTGAGCCCTGGGTTGGTGCATGCTGCAAGTGATGTGTGGTCTTTCACATTTAGACTAGGAGGTCTTTTCAGGCAGGGACCATATTTTTATCTTGTATTTGTTGTTGTTTTAGGCACTGCTTTTCCTCATCTATGACCTAGGACTCTTAGCAGTCATAATAATCATGGTAATAGCTTTTTTTGCAGCAAGAGCACGCTGTTGGCTCATATTCAGCTTAAGGTCCACTGTAACTTCCAGGTCCTTCTCTGCAGTACTGTAGCCCTGCCAGTCATTCCCCAGTCTATATTTATACATGAAATTATTCCATCCTGAGGGTAGGACTTTGCACTTGTCCCTGCTGAATCTCATCTGATTAATTCTGAACCATTTCTCCAGCCTGTTCAGATTATTCGGGATCTTAGTTCTGCTCTCTGCAGTATCTGTAACTCTACCCAACTTGGTATCATTTGCAGATTTGCTAAGCATGCACTCAGTCCCATTATCCAAATCATTAATAATGACATTAAACAATATCAGACCCAGGCTGTAGTCTTAGGGAGCCCTACTTGAAACCTCCTCCCAACTAGACATTGAGCCATTGATGACTACTTGTTGAGCATGATGATTCAGTTATATATCCACGTTACAGTACTTGCATCTAGCCAGCATTTCCTTAGCTTGTTAATGAGAACGTCATGAGAGACCATGTCAAAAGCCTTGCTAAAGTCAAGGTATATCACATCTGCTCTCCTCCCATTTGCAGATCGTATCAGGTTGGGATGCTGGATTATTGCAGAAACTAACACACCATGTACAAGATCTTTCTACAGTCATTGTAGCCCTATAAGTACCAATCTTAAAGAGACTTCAGATTCATTTTAAAACATTGTTTGACACCCTGTTCTTGACCTAGCTTTTTTTCTTAATTTTTCAAGATATCTGGTTATATGCCTTTAAAAACACCCTTGTTGGGTGGAAGGCCCTGGCCTAGCTAACATACAGCTTCCATGCCAGGCTGCTGCTGCTACTGGAGTCCTGATCCACTTCCCCAGTCTCCTGCTGGCTCCAGGCAGCAGGTAGGAAAGCAGCAGGGGTGGACCTGCAGCTGAGTGGGAGCACGGGGCTGGGGCTGGCTGCAGTGCAGAGCCCGTGCCCAGGGAGGTGGCAGCAGCGCGGAGCTCGGGTGGGCAGGGTGTGGGTGTGAGGGAGGGTGGGGGGCATGGGGACTTCCCCCACGCTCCCCTCCCCCATAGCAGGCAGCCCTGCAGGTGGTGGCAACAGCGGCAGCAGCAGCAACAGGTGGGGTGCTCAGGGTGCAGGTGCCCTGTGGGGCATAGCTCCGGCCAGCGCTGCACATTGCAGCGAAAGGTGCAGCTTCTACTGGAAAGTCTGTATCACCCGTGCTCCCTGCCACTCACGTGCAGTCCCCACACTTGCACAGTACGGGAGAGAAGCCCCAGCGCTGGAGCCGGATGCCTTCCCTGTCCCGCAGGCGAAGGCTCCTGGGGCTTCCCTCCCGTGCAGCACAGCCCCGGCAGGGAAGGCAGCCGGTTCCAGACCGGGGGGGCTGCGTGTGAGCAGCAGGGAGCACCAATGATACAGACGGCTGAGTGGAGCTGCACCCCTCGCTGTGATGTGCATTGCTGGCCAGCGCCGCACCCCACTGGGTGCCTGTGTGAACCACCACTCACCCACACGCTGCCCCCACAACTCCCCACATACACAACCCCCCCAACATACCTTATGCCCCCCACCCACACACAGCCACACCCTCAACAAACTCCCTACACCCGCCATCTTACCACAAACACCCACAACCCACTATACACATACCTGCACCCACACCCACATGCACACCCCACCATACACCCCCCTCCCCACATAATATACAAAATTAAGCATTTATTTTTGAGTTATTATGCAATCATCTCTATATACATGATGCAAACACAAATCATTACAAAAAATATTTTTTGTAATAAAAAAATACATTATAGTAAGTATGATTTGTTTTTTTTCTGGTTCTAAGATGGCAACCACCCTTCCCGAAAGGAGTATTTCTGTGGGGTAGGGAAGGGACTTCCGGCGGCAAAGGTCAGGGTTTAGGGAGTGGGATTTCCAGTCCCAGGGCGACATAGGGGTGGGGCAACTGTCAAGGGGCGGGACTACCTATGTGGCCCTCGACAGCTCACCAGAACTCATTAAGTGGCCCTCCAGCCAAAATAATTGCCCGCCCCTGTTGTATGTATTGGAACGTGAAATAGTATGCTGGTTCTGTGTGCTGATTTTGGTGTCAGATACCGTATAAAGTAAAACCTAGCTTTCACAAAAGCTTTTTTTCTAAAGCAGAATGTGACAAAGAGTATTGATCACTAAACAGTAGTGTTTATGATCACTGAACAGGGTGACAGAAACAGCTTTCAGATGAGCTCTATAGATGGGCCCAAAGTAAAACGTTGTTCCAAAATACCTTCATCTAAATGCTGCTGCCTGGTTTAGGTCCAAAATTATTTTAAAGTTTGTAAATGTACTGCAGTAAGACAAGATTTCAGCCAAACACATTTTAAAACTGAAGCAATTGGTCCTTTAATTCTGATTTTAGTTTCCTTAACCAAAGAAAACCCATGTGAAAGAATACCAGCAGTTACAGTATATTCTTAATACCCGTGCCTTTTCTCATTACAGCAGATTTGTCATTGATTTCATATCTTCATTGTTAAAAAAACAAACCCATAAAACTTGACAATTATAGAATCTAATGTTATTGTTGATCCTGAACTATATTTAATTTGCCTGCTAGCCAGTAACATTATCGGGGAAAGTAATCTTCTTGAAATGTATGTCACAAGAGTGAATTTTAACCCACAGAACATCAGAATCTGGGCCATACAGATTTTGACAGGCAAAGACAAGTAAACCAGGCATCACAATAGTAAACCAGTATAAACTGTTTTTTTCCAGTAATGTGATGGGTATCTGGCCTATGTTGAAAATTTGACTTTGATTTGCAAACCTACCTATTTATACGATTATTTAAAATGTGGAGTCTCTCACTCAAGTATTGTTTGTAAGTGTGTGTACTTCTCTAGCTAAATGTATTTTAATCCTGCATTCTTTTTTCATATGAACCTGGTAATTGTAACTTGTGCTTTCTTTTTTATATCTACTATCTGGACAGTGTGGATATATATTTTTAAAATAAAAATATATTCTAAATGCCTATTCTGTTGGAAAGATGCTTTCCTTTATCTGGCCTCATATTTTGAGCCTCATCTTCAACATATTGCAGAGAGTAATGCTATAGTACAGTGGTCTCCAAAGTGGGGTGCGCAAGACGATCCATTGGGGTGCAGGAATAAAATATTAGAACTTCTATTTATATTAATTTTTGTCTCATCCTTTTGTCATTTCTATTTTTTGTGTATGTTTTATAATGTACGTAATATATTAGTTCACTAGTACATGTATATAATTTATAAATAAATAAATATACATATATTGGGGGTGCGTGCTCAAAAATTTTTTACTTTAAGGGGTGCGCGATCAAAAAAGTTTGGAGACCACTGCTGTAGTACACGACAAACTAAGAGACCAATGAACCCTTAATTTTTGTACCAAAGCCTTTAACATACAATAAAACATGATACCTGCAAAACTAACATTCATATGGCTATTGTAAAAACTAGGAAATGTAGTAATTTATATCAAAGGTAGCAACTATATCAAACCTATATCAAAAGTACTCAAAGTGTTGCTTAGAGCTATTCTATATTTTTGCACTTTCAAAAGATTCTTTGGTATGGAAATGGTCAGATTTGTACAGCTATAGCCACTATACATTTTTGAAATAAGCCAACTACTGATATCTTATGATATCAAATTTCTACAGCTATAAACATGCAAGACACTTTTTAAAGAGCATCTTATGGTAGAATAATTAAGGATTATAGCTTTTCTGAATATGGATGAAATGTGGTGTTCACCTTCAAAGGCAATATGAGATTTTTGTTTGAAACATTAGAAATAAAGGAACAGATTATACTTTCATTCTTTTTTTCCATTATGCATTTCAATTTATGTTTAGAAGACTTTTTCTCTCTCTCCAATGACAATAGGACTGTACTAAATTTAGCCCGTATCTCCAGTTATTGTAATAATAAAGTTGTTCAGAATTCTTAATATGAAACCCAACTCCTTGTTTGCAGAAATGCTTGAGGACTGAAGTTACTTTAGCTCTTTTTTTCAACTTCTCTTTATTATGTTGCTGATGGCAGAATGATCATTGATCACATATAGCAGAGAAACTACGTGCAACTCCAGTGTACAATATATAAGTACCTCAGATGTGCCTAGTTTTAACAACTGAATTTGCACATATGGCCATGTGTCAATAACTTTGCTCATAGGTGTTTGGCTTTTGCACAACAAAGTTTTTAGACTATAACTTTAAATCACAGGGACAAGGAGGGCCTGAACCTGCACAGCTGAAGTCAATCTGAGTTTTATCATTGGCTTCCCTAGGAAGGAGCAGGGCTGAAGAACCTTCCCTTGTTCCCCTGACTTAACCCTTTTATTTTCATAATTGGAAGGTTCTCTAGGTTTGAAATGCTGTCGGTCTGTATGCCTTACAGCAGAACCACATGACTGCTGAGATTGGTAATTACAGACTTAGCTTACTGTTTCTCTGCTGAACTCCTTTGACTGAAACAGTCAGAAAAAAACAACCAGCTCCATATTTTTATTTTTTTAAGGAAAAAAGCTAAATGCTAAGGACTGCTATAAAGGAGTAGCTCCTTTTATGGGCTTTACTATGTGATTTCTAAAAACACATATTTTTTCTTTTCAAGGAAAACCTTTTTTTCTTTTTTCTTTTTTGCAAAAATCACCATGTAAACAAAAAGCTACATCTGTCTTATAGAAATTCTCATTATTTCGTCAAGGTCTTCTCACTTTCAGGGAGCTGAGAATGTGTGTAAGGTAGATCCTCCTCTTCTGGCTCTCCCCCCTGAGGGTAGACGACAAAACACAGCTTCTGTCCCAAGTATGTCATGGATTCTATGAGGAACAAACATTTTGTTAATGGGATTATTGTTGAAAGAATTCAAGTAATCTAGCCTTATGATTGCTTAGCTTGTGAGCAAATATACTTCTGAACCTGTTTGAATAAGACCTAATGCAATGAGGCTGAACCAGTTAAACCACATTTATTACACTTCTCCATTTGAAATTAGGAATGAAATCAATTTCCCTTTTAAAATGGGTGGCTGAGATTTTCAAAATAGCCTAAGGAGTCAGGTACCCAACTCTTTAGTTTCCATTTGTCTTAGATTTTTTTCTTTGAAAATCCCAGCCTTAATAAGAAATCAAATAAAAAAGAAAAAATTATTAAAGACCTCTTTTCAGCTCAAATTTATGACCCATGTGTAATTTAATTTTTTTGAGTGGTGGTAGAACCCGGATTTCCTATTTTATGCATGTAAAATGATTACTGATATTGATCCATATGGGAACCTGGCTGTCCATTGGGATGTGTGTGTACAGTAGACTGAGGAAAGGAGCAAATCCAAAAGCAGGGTGAGGAGGATAGGATTTGGTGAAGCTTATAGGTGCTCTACTTTTACTATTGTTTATTTAGGCAGTTAGACAGTTCCTGTGTTTGAAGTTACACTCCTGCATAAGTGCTTGGCTGGACCGCGGCCATGATGAGATGGCTGAATGAATGGAGGGAAGTGCAAGGTCAGGAGAAGAAAAATAACAACGTGCAGAGGGCTGAGCAGTATAGGCACCTCAGTGAACCAGCTGCAGTCACAGAAATGCAACTTGCAGCTCCCTCCTGCTCCCTGGCCCTGAAAACGTGACTGACACGGTGCACCCCATGGGGACGCAGCAAGAAACCTGGGCTGTCACTACCCAGGGTAACAGTCTTAGAGCAGTCATTCCAGCAAAACCCTATTTGAAATATATTCCCAGTGCACAAGCTCTAGAAACTTTGCTGACGTCTAGAAAGTGGCATGCGAATGACAGAAGCCGCCCTGCACAAAGAATGGTCATTTCTTGCTGAAAAGAGTTACAAACCAAAGAAATGTGTTTCTGGTTTCCAGGAAGCCTCATGCTCCCTCCACACTTCTTTTCCCTGCAGCCTATCATTAATTTCTCTCCAGCCCATCTGTTGTTTCTGTTTCTTCATTTGCATTTCAGGGCCGGACTTCAGCATCCTTCCTTTCCATTTAAAAATCAAGCCCTAGAACCCCTGTGATCACACCTAGAAGCCTATTTCCTGCTGCACAGAGCATGGGTTCAGGGGCTGCAAACTGTGAGCCAGAGGCACTTTCCCCATATTTAGGCATGTGTACTCCACAAGCCCTCTGTGCTGGACAGTGTTGCCTTCATATGCTGTGGCTCCTACAGCTAGTATAGCCACACTCCCCTGGCACTACAGGCAGGCTAATTAGCCCTGTCACTCACTAAAACTGGCGGCACGTTGCCGCTGGCTGAAAAAATAGCAGAAATGCTAATTAGCTGTAAGTGACACTGTTAATTAGCCCACCCCTGTGCTATGTGAATGCAACTGTACTGTTTCTGGTTTAGGAGACAGTCTGCACAGGGATTAGTGTGGTGTGTTTGAGGGTGCTGTTGACAGACATTTTTAAGTTTGCAGTGTACTTATGCCCTCTGTTGTAAAGCCACTCTTTTCTCATGCCATATGCACCATCGCTTTTTGCTTCTGGATATGTATCATGTACTGGCATTAAACTGCTCTCATTCTTAGCAAATAATTAGAGTGATATTTATAAACTTCAGCAAAATCCTACCCAAAGATCTCTGCCTAGCTGCTGAACAGAATCTGAATGCTGGTGAATCCCGTGAATGTAGGTGTGTGGGAGGGGAAGACCCGCGAGAATCCTACGTGTCTATGAACAAACAGTGGAACCGAGGAGGACGTTTGCAGATTGAAAGGTGTTCTTACCAATTACATTATTTACACACTTTGGTTTATTTCTCCAGTACACGCCAAGAAAAAAAACTGGCACTCCAGTCATTATGATAATGAGTCCAATTCCGCAGACGACTGGTTCAGAATATAAACTGAAGATCAACAGAAATGCCCAAAATATCAGGTAAGTGATTGGAACAAGGAGATTTACCTAAGAGGAGACAGAAGAGAAGAGCAGAACAGAACTGTACAGAATTATAAGAGCACTCTGCGAGATATACAAGGGTAGGAGGGCAGTGTTGTCTAATGGATGGGGCACAGCACTGGGAACCACAGGCCGACTTTCTATTCCCAGCCCAGCCAAAAGCCTGCTGTATAAGCTTCCCTGTTCTGTGCTTTGGATCTTCCTCCCACGCTTTGTCTGTTTTCTCTCTTAAACCACAAGTGCTTTTGGGCAGAGACTGTCTTGCTATCTGTCTGTGCAGTGCTAACACAATGGCGCTTCAGTCAGGCCCTCTAGGCATTTCCACAACACAAATAAGAACAATAAACAATACTTTGGGTCTGAGAAGGGGCTTGCCATGACTCGTGCATCCTTTACACGGTTAATGGGCAGAGTGCAGAACTAAGAAATGAGTTAAAATATTTTCACCTTGATAGGTCTGAAGATTTTGGGTTTCTTCCAACGTAAAACAATCAGGCCTATAATTGTCACTCCGTAGCAGAGGTAGTTAATAAATGACACATAATTAATTAATGTGTACGTGTCTCCAACAAGCATGATAACAGCAGTAGCCGAACACTGGAAAAGAAAGAAGCATATTATTTCAGTCAGCACTGGAAATTTGTATAAAAGCAATAAAAAGGGGGGTGGGAAATCAAGCAGTTAAGCTTCTTTTATTTACATCTCATGCTGGGTGTTGCTGTTGACTCCTGCAGTTCTGTTTATTATATTAAAGCTGTGCCACAGAAACCTACGTTTGAATGGGGATCTGGAGTTATTTTGATTATGGGGATCTATAGTTCTGCTTATAACGATGTATGGAGAATTTCCTGAAATGACTCTTCTAATTACGGTCATGTGCTAACAACTACTGTGAATGCTTGCACAGCTTTCCTTGCACAGGTTTTGCAAACACTGGTAGCCCAGTTTTCAAGGATTTTCACACCTATGCACATACTAAATTGTTAGTTTGAATGCAGAGGTCACCTTTGAAAATGTCACTCCTGATACTGGTTTTAAGTACATTTTAAAGACATGTCTGAAACAATGAACAGAGGGCCACAAAGTGAAAAGAAATGGCCTTGATACTCAAAAAAAAGTAGTATTGGTTGATAAGAGGTGCCTAGTAGATGTGATTCTTGCTTTTCTTACTACAAAATGACTGTACAGTTTTAAAACCAACTAGGTTCAACTGCTGTAGCTGTGGAGAGTCCTGAATTAACACTCCAATGCTATCATGCTGATAGGAAAGAACAGGGTGAAGTGAATGTCTGACCTCCACAGCAAGGACCTGATCCAAAGGGATTTCCAAATTAGCACGCAAGAATTTTGAGGGGAATGACACCGAACAAGGAGTTCGCTGGCTGTGGAGGCTTCTGTACCAGCTGTGCTGCTTGTGTGTTGAGGTCTTTTCCTTTTCCTCCCTCTCCCTTCTGTCCTGCACAGCCTGGATACTAGGGCTGTTTACAGCAATCTGCACCTAGGGTAGACTAGTGATATTCTTTTCAGAAAGCAGTGCAGCATCTGGAACAAGCCAGAGCTGGAAAGCTGTCGGTACTCACTAACTACATATTGTGCCAGCAACGAACAATCTCTGAGGAAATGCCTGAGCATGTCAGACACCTGCATCAGCTCTTTTCCAGCTTCTGCACTGCAGACAGGATACAGCTAGGTTATACACTGAGGCAAGAGGATACTAGTGAGCAGAAAAACCACTGAATGTGCCCGGTTTTTAATTCCAGAACACTTTGGGGTCTAAGATGGGGCAACTATAATGCCCAACAATGGACTTTCTCAAACTCGGTGATTTTAATCACCCCGCAGATTGTCCCCTGAATTAAGGCTTTGTTTTTCCTTTCCCATAAAGCCGATACAGATTTTCCCGTGTAGGTGGAAGTACACTACAGGACAGAACTCTTGCAGCGTATGCTTTTAGTAGCTTCGCTCTACCAAGCTCTGATAAGTTTGCTTTAAAAGCTGCTTAGCTTTGTGACAAGAACTTCTGGCAAAGTTTAAGTTGTTATGAGAAGAGATGGATTTCTTGTAACAAACATTTTGTGGTTAGTACCTTATTTTGTTCCAGGTGACCTGTATATAGTATAAAGAAGAAAAGCCTTATCCTGTTCTTTTTTTTCCTTTAGCCAATAGTTGATGCTGCAGATGACCTAGATCATTAATCTTTTTAGCATTAGCACTGTTTAGAAACTGGCTGATGGATAATGGAAATTTCCATGCATCCGCTTGCTTATTTGCACTTGCTTTGTTTCTGAATAATACTGTAATGCAAACAGACCTGGCTTACTATTCATGGGCTTGCTCCTGAGAGGTTCTGAATGCCTTCGCCTCCCACTGGCATCAGCTGGAAGTGAAGGGGTCAGGATAGGACCCTACTTAGGTAGTTATATTGTGCTACCATTGACCCTCTCTTGATCGTGCTTTTACTTGCTTTAATCAACACAGAAATGTGTTCTGTCACATGATTGTGTTTTTAGCTATAACAAATACTCATCCATTTGCAATATTATTCTGTAAAAATGCCATCAGACTATAAATAGTGTTCACTAGGACCCAGAGCTTAGTGTCCAATAAGACTCAGCACCTAAAATGGGATTCCAGAATCGTTCATGATAAGCCTGTGTGCTGTACTGATCTTTCTACCCTTTCCTGTTTGTTGTGACTCACTGATTTTGTAGCAAAGGGCTATAGGCAGGGAGAACAAACATGCTGTGCTACAGGTACAGACAGTAATTCATAGATTCATAGATTAAGGGTCGGAAGGGACCTAGTAGATCTTCTAGCCCGACCCCCCGCCAGGGCAGGAGAACAACAAAAAAACCCCCAAATACTAGATAATAATAAAAAAAACCCCTAATACTAGATACCTCTGTGCCTCGTGGTTCCACAGCTACTAATGTAAGGCCCAAGGGAGATCTCATGGTCTTGGGAAGACTACAACAAAGCTGGTAACTTGGAAAAGGTTTAAAATAGGACAGCATCTATCTTCTAGTCTTGCATTCCACATGTACCATGGCAGTCTGCTTTACTATGGGTGATGCCCAATATTACAAGTAAGCATAGCTGACTATCTGGCTAGAAAATGACTGGCTGGTTTTGTGATGAAGCCTCTAGTGCTGATGAAACGTCTTGTGTGGGTTGCACTGAAGTGGTCGGGTCTTGCGTTCCTTACTGTTGGAACAGTAGGACGGTGGGTATGCTGCTCAGGAAAGTTGTGGAATCTCCTTCGTTTGAAGTTTTCAGGAAAAGGCTGGGTAGGCGTTTGTCTAGAAGGCTACAGGAATAATGTATCCTGCATTGGTGCAGAGATTGAATTAGATGACCCTTGCAGCCCCTTCCAATCCTAGGATTCTATAAAGGAATAATTCCTGGGTAGGAGTAGTTGGCATATTCCCCATCAATTTACCCAGTTGCCCCCTTTGTCATTTCAAAAAAATGTTGAGTACTTAAACTGGAGGTTGTATTTGTCCCAGAGAAATATCCTGCTTGCTTATATGGGGACACACCAGTGCCATACAAAATGCTTGGCAACAGATCAAACACATGGCATAATTTGAATCTTTACTGCACAAGGCACTGATTTACCTTGCCTTAAGCCTTTCTCTGTAAAACACTTTTAAATGGCTTGAACTCTCCTAATGTTGTAATATTTGCCACCTTGCTTGGACACTCTGTTTTGCTAAGGAACAGTAAAAACAAGTTATCCTCAGAGATGTTAAGCAGGCCCCCCGAATGCATAGAGAGCCAGGATTAATTAGTAAAATCCTGATGCATTAATTAGGCTTCCCTAAAGGCTGACCTAATATGCTATTGGAACTGCTAACAGTGTATTATTTTTATATTACTATTCGTTAAGAAATTAATATTTCATGGAAACATTTAGAACATCCTGAGATGCATAAAAAACACCTCAAATGAGTAGTTAATATGCAGTGTTGGTTCTACAATTTGCACACTAATTTAATGGAAATGTTTTGAATAAACTGGGTAGCTAGCATGTGTCTGATTTATCAGGTCTGTTCTGCATGGGGAGCTTGCATAGATTGTGGCTATTTCAGAGTAACACTCTGCTATTCAGCATACTGTTTGAGCTGATACCTTTTCATGATCAAGGGATTTTGCTTCATCTGCATCACTAGAGCACAGCAACCCACTGTGAGTCCATTTTTTTAAGACAGCACAGATTGTGGTGCAGTTCAATCAAAAAAGATTCACAGATAATGTGTGTTATTTGTGTTATGGGGCATTAAGTCCTCTCTGTATGGATACTACTGCTGTTCAGCTACACCATGATTTTATGCAAACATAGAAGGTGCATGAGACTTACTGAGAAAAATATATCGGTAGGCTATAGCACAACTGTTGCAGCCAGTTGTTCTCCCACGGGGACAAGCAGAATGTATGTAGTTAGTATGGGTGAAATCCTGGTTGCACTGTCAGAATATTTTCTTGCTTACTGCATGCAGTTATGGACTGAAACATGAGGAATTTTCCTCTTGTACTTGTTTTAAATAAAACATTAGTGCACCTTTTATTCTAACTCTCCCCTTTTTATAGCACTATTCCACCCTTCGTTTTGGTAGTAACTTGTGCAGCCCACTGCCATGAGATAATAATACTGTGTGCATAAACAGAAAAAACAGGCAAACAAAAATCTTTCCTGTGTTGCCTTCTAATGTAACTGAGCTGCTCTCTTGTTCAGATCTTGTTACAGTGATTTTTCTCTCTTCCCTTTCTTTACAGGAGCAAGGTGAAGTCAAGACATCCTGATTCCTTGAAGAAGTTATCAGTACAAAGCTACTGTTCAGCACAAAACATTGTTCAGCAGAGTAGCATTTTGCCCTGACCCTGGGGATCACTGTGGCTGTAGGCTTGGCAGCTGGCACTTACACTGCAGAGAACTACCTTGGAGAACTTTGTCTATATAAAAAAAAAATCCTGGAGCAGACAGCATCGGTAAAAGAACATGCATTTCTTTAAACAGAGAATTTCAGTTTGCAAAGAAAGGTTTTTTGAAACTCTTAGTCTTATTCAAATCTAAGCAGGTTATGAGACATCACGAGAGAAGAAGTACAACTTACACACACTAGAAGGGCAGGGATGGGTGTACAGTGTTTAACGTGGATCATAGCAAGCAAGCTGGGCAAGTGACCTTCTCGCGCTCCAGAGAAACATAATCTGGAAAGAAGAGAAGGAACATTCAGTGTGTGCAATAGTCATTTCAGTGCTTAGCTGTCTTATTTCTCCATTCCTAACTGGTTTGATCCAAAGCATATGGGAAACTTGCAGTGAGAGTTAAATTTCTAGTGCTCGCTAATCTGAGTCTTGAAACCAAGCGCTCTTCTGTTACAGACTGTGTGAGGCCTGGGGAAATCACATAGCCCTAAAACTTCAAGGGATTAAGCACATAACTCCAGCAAAGTCTGTCATAGCTCAGTTCCCTGTTTGTCAAATGGGGGTAACAGTACCTTCCTATGTACAGGAGTGCTAGGAGGATAAATGCATGAAAGACTGTGAGGGTTTTCAGGTACTACGGAACAGGTACTGTATAATTACTTAAGATAGATACCTAAAGGGATGGTTATTTCAGTGCCTAATGGGCTTTGGATCTGTTCTACTACCCCTCAAGATTTGATTTAAAAATATATATATTTATAAATATTGTTATTGTGTTATATACATTTTTAAATATGTTCAAATTGGTTAGGTTCAAATTTGTCATGACCCTTGTGAGAACACCACAGTAAGGGACTTTGCTAAAATGTTAAAGAACTGAATTGTCATTAGAATTTGGTATTTTGCTTTCTTAAGGAGAGAGGGTATCTCTATTAAATTAGAATTTAATATACACAGGAAAAATGTTGATTCCTGTGACAGCAGTGCAAACTGAGAACAATTCCCCTAAAATAAATGGGCCTACTTTAGATATGTGTCTATGTAACTGAGAACAGAATTTGTCCTTACAATCTGAGCTAAACGTAGCTTGCCTAGTGGCTACTGAAACTTTGGCCAGGGTAACATGAAGAGAATTACCCTGAGACTGGAACCTCAAGGCAAAAGTATGAATGAAACTGCCTCGGGGAACTGTGCATAAATTAACAGCTTTCCCAGGAAGAAAAGGCAGTGGATTGAAACCAAGATAAAATTTCCCAGTTTAGGAGATTTACCTTGGTTCATGGGATTGTTTCACGTGACCCCAGCTTTACTTCTTGGGGGAAGCTTGTGTTTTCCCAGGATAACCTTTTCATGTGTCCACAGCCTATAATATTATAAAATTACATTGCCTACATATGGATGAATTATTTCAGTACAGCTGTATACCCTTTCAGTAGACCATAAGGGCTCTTTTGCAAGTGATTCTGCAATTCAGTGTTCTATTTACTGACTAAAATCGAGTAATTCCTAACTTAATGTAGCTACCATGCCCAACAGTGAGATCATGTTCTATAACATCCAGAGTATCCATCTAGCATTGCTTTAGCAAATGAAATTAAAACAGCCCCTCCCCAAATTAGATAATGTTCATAAAATTGTACTCCATCTAACCTTGATGAGGTAAAAAGGTATCCATTTATTCCTCCAAATGTAGATAGGGCCACTGAGACTGGCATAACCCAGGAAAAATAGCCCAGTAACTTTTCACCAAATGTCTAAAGCAACAGAAGGCAGAGAAACTGAAATACACTGAATACACTGCAAAGCACAAAACTGAAATTAAAATGTATTTTAGATATCCATGGAATGGTTTACTTACTACCGCCACAGCGTTGGAGGATAAGAGCTCTTGGGGAGACATGGCAGTGAAATATGCAATGTTGGTGAACGTATACACAAATGTCACCAGAGGGATGGATATGAATATGGCACGAGGTAGGTTCCTAATGAGAGAATTAGGAGGGGTGATAAGAATTTGTATTTGCTTACAACTAAGCCATACTAACCCCCTACATTTTGGGGAAGTCTACACTCAGTTTTGTGGTGTAAATGTCTATTGCTGTATATAGCAGTAAGGAGAGAGAGAGAGAGAGAGAATTCTGTTTCTCTCAATAGCCAGGCATAGTCACTGGAACCATTATACAACGTCATGTTCTGGTACATTATAAACCCATACATCACAGTATTTAACCACAAATCTGAAGGTCAACAAATAGATTTACAATGTGGCTGTGCTGTAGATATCAGCTTCTATTTTGTGAAGACCACATGCACGTTTTCTACAGGTGTGTCTCTACTTGAAAATTAAATTGGAGGAAGGAAGAATTTATTTTGCTTTGAAAGTGCACCAAGTCCTATTCGTAAGATAACTAACTAGACTAATAATGTACCATGAACAACGCAGTGCTAGTTACTGAAAAATAATGGACTTGCCATTTTCCCAGTCTCAGTTATTTAATAGATTTAGCTAAGTCACAGGAGCGTTCTATAAATGCAGAGAGCTTGCTTAGGGGCAGGCATTTCACCCAAAGAAACATGAAGGATTTTTGTTCTTCTCTGTCTGATACAGAAAAGATTATGGTTTTGCAAAGACTTGTTACAGGCAGTAGGGTTTTTTCCATGCTTTATTTTGGCAGTATAACTAACTTTCTTTTATTTCTCCCTCAAAAACTGCAGACCTGAAAAAATATTAGTATGAATTATTAATTATTATGAATCCTTTTTTACCTTTAATTTGTACATTGACAGTACAATACCCAATTCCCATTGGCAACCAGCACATTTAACTTCTTTCCTTTTTTCCTCAGATGCTCAGTTAAGGACATACTGCCTGATTTAGGTCAAAATTTGTCACGATTCACTTGGAAATTCTGGAGCTTTGTGAAAATGTTGGTTGCTTGAGACAGCCCCATATCTGGCTTCTTAACTCCCTCAATCCTTCAAAGACTTATGACTATGCATAACTTGATGTACATGCACATTTCATTGCTCAGATGAGTGATTTAAGCATCTGCACACATGTAGCAGTTCAGAGATCTTCCCTTGTTACCACTCAGAGTGAGATATACTTGAAATTCCTCTTTGTTCAGTTGGCCTAGGCTAGCATGTATATGCTGAACATCCAGAGCTAACTAAAGATGCAAAAGCTGCCACCTGTATTTGTCATTCTACTTTTGCACCTCAGGCATTTGAACTGTGGTTTCATGATGATGGAACTGACTCTCTTCCAGGCTTAGCAAACATTGTGGTCTGCAGCAAACCTCATGCCAATCTCCTTGATACCTTTATTCCTTGAGTCAGAAGCTTACATATAGACAGTCCTGCTGCAGCTTACTCTGTGAATGGTACCAATAGATTGATCCCAGATTCTTAGTACTTCAAAGCAACTGGGTAGGAAGGAACTAAATACTTGCCTGCGGGGATCAACTAATTCTTCTGTTACATAATTCAAGAAGTTCCACCCACTGAATGCAAATGACCCTTGAAGAAAAGCTAATGCTAAATGCCCCACAGATGGAGTCATCCGAAAAGTGAATGCATTGGTTGGTGTCAGTTCTTCATAGTTTCCTATAGATAAAGCATAAGCAAAACGTTAAACCAGAATTGTAAAATACAGGAGCACCACCTACCAGGGGCACCAGGATGGAAGAAAAGTCTTTTCAAAGAATAGCAAACATCCTTCTTGCCTATATGTTGCTAATACAAATCTTAGAATAGTGGTTCTCAACTAGCCTTGAGACCCCCATCAGGGATGCTGTGGCATGGATGCCGCCACCACCACCACCAGGTAAAAATGCCTTATTCATCTGATGCACAGCTGGGCTGGGAAGGGCAGCAGCATACAAGTCCTCTCCTACCTCATTAGTTTTCTGACTAACCAAAAGCAGCTTGTACTGAAGCCCTTCCTGGTCTGGTTTCTCCCAGAAATGGAGGAGTGCAAGGCAGTTCCACCTACCCCACAGCTCTGTTTCTGGGACGGGCGGTGGGACATCTGTGCTCTCCTGCCTCATTAAAGTTCTCTGATAAGCTTAAAGCAGGCAGGAGCATGCATGCAAGCCACAGCCCTTCCTGCTCTGGCTGTGTGCCAGTTATGTGGGGCACTCTTTGCTGGCGGGGTGTCAGCAGCAGTACCCAGTTGAGAACAATTGAGATATGCTGGTCCTCAATTGGGGATACAGCCAAAATCAAAACAGTGGGGGAGAGTGCCCTGATTCTAAAAAGACTGAGAACCACTGTCTTAGATTATGCTTCCCTGTACTCTGAAAAGCAGTTAGTGGGGAAAAAGAGGGAGGTGAATTATTATAAAAAGCTGAAGAAACACAAAAGCATACCAGAGGGAAACATAAAGGAACTGTTGGGGATTAAAAAAACACAAGACTTCTGTGGCTGCTGATGGGCTAAGGGGGCACTGCTGATGAAAGATAACTGTCTGCCTTATGTATATTTTAGTGGATTGGATTTATCCTTAATGTCAAATCTGTTATTTGATAAATTGGATTAATTAATAAAAAAGAAAAGAAAAAGAAAGTAGTAAGCATTAACATCACACTTCCAGTGCTTCCTTTATATTCTCACAGAAAACTGTCCTGGGGAAATAACCTTGGCTAGTCTGAGTAGCCGCAGTTGCACTGACATTATTGCCACACGATGGGCATATCTACACGTGCAATTAATAAGAAGCAATAAACCCTGGAGTTTATTACTCCCAGGTGCACTGCCTTTATGGACCCAGATGCATGGTGTTTCCCCTGGAAAAACCACCTTCTAGATCACTGCCCGACTCAACATGCCGCAGAGGGGCTGGCTGGGGCACGAGGGTACTTCAGTGTAGGGTTAGCTGGCAGGCAGCCCCTTACTGAAGCACCCTCTTGCCCCAGGTAGCCATCTACATGTGTGCTGTTGAGGAGTAAAAAAACCCTCCACAACAGGATAGTACTTGTATTTACAAGTAGTACCCTGCTGCAGAGTTTATTAGTTTACTCCAGCCTAATAGCCCTGCATGTGTAGACGCTGAGATATTTAATATGCAGTTAATTAGTCTACTCCGCAGTAAACATCTTGTGTAGATATGTCCAATTTGCATCATCCCCATTGACTTCAAAGGAACTGTGACTAGTTGTAACACCTGGTACCTTAAGCTCTTCTCTCTGAATGGAGCAAGTGTTCATTCAAACCAGGAAACCCTATTTGGGGGAGGCAGAGGCTTTAAGGCCATTGAACTTCTACTGCCCAGAAAGAGATGCCCTCCTATAATCATGTGTTAATTTCTAACTACTCTTCCTGGTTTGCTGCAAACGGTGTATTTCTCTGTTCTCCATGTGAGTTGTAATATACACTACATCAGGCCTTGTGTCCTGTGCTTTTCATTATGTTGCTGAATCAGGTCTTTAAACTCCTACCTATTTTTAAGCATGTGAGTACTGCAGACATTTAGACTAATCATGTGCTTAGAGCTAGGCAAGTGCTTAAGTAATGTGTTGATGTGAGGCTTTGGTATCACTGCATATAGCATGCATCTAAAGCAGCTGAAAACTGGAGAGGAGCATGTAGTTGATAAAATGTAACTCTACCAAGTAGGATATTTTTCAATATGTTAGTTCAGTGCATTATATTTTTAAAAGCAATTATTTCTTTGGGGAGTAACTTGTTCAAGACGCTGTGTCTTATTTCCCTTTGCTGTTGCATGTCTGACAATACTGTGCTGTGTTATAGAGCATACTTCACTCTCGATCATACCAGCATTTAGAAGAAATCCTGTAGTTTCAATGGCTAATTAATATTTATTAATTATTTTCAGTTTAGTCACATATTTGTGTCAGCCCTGCCCAGTGGCACTTTTTGTGTCTTGCACAGCTGAGTGCCATTTGGCCCAGCCTGAAACCTGCCATGGGACAGCATTCAGCAACAAACAATTTCTTTAAAATCCAAGTTGTTGGGTGAGCACATTGTCAGCAATGGAAGCAAAATAATTCAGGCTAGAAACAGATGTCACTCAATGGAGTGGATCAGCTGTGCCGTGACATGTCATGACACAACTGATTTGCTTCACTGGGTGAAATACATGTTTCCACTTGTTCTGCCCTTGACAGCGTGGGACAAGGGGCAGTGTAATCTCCCCGCATTCCCTGCTGCCCTAGACCTGCGCTGTGGGTTTGGGGCAGTGGCAAAAAGTGCTTCTCTACTCAGCTAGCTCCACAGGGATTGCTGGGTGGGGGGCAACTTTGCTTTCCCTGCTGTCCTAGGCCCACAGGTCTGGAGCTATGGGAAAAGCAAGGCTTTCCCCTAGCCAGCGCCACAGGGCTGGTTGAGCAGGGAAGCACTTTTCCCTACTCCCAGACCCACAGCACAGGGCTATGGCAGTGGGGAAAGCACTGCAAGGTAATAGAGGTCTGTCACAAGAAAGCAGCAGATTCTATTACTACCTTTTGTTGCAGCATTGATTTTCCTGTTGTGGAACAACAAAGGGTATGAAAATCTATATGCTCAGCGTTTGCGCCGCCTTAAAAATCTTTAAGGCGGCACAAACAAGACTGCATATGGTGTCTGTTTCCACCCTCAGAATTTTTCTGTGCCTGTTTATAATTAGAAAAGAGTAGGTTTGGTACAACGGGCTTTCCTAGGAGAATTTAATTTCAACAGTAGTACTGTACCAGCGTTTAGGCTCTGTGAGTACCTTTGAAGATCTGTATGAAGCCCACAACAATGATAAGGGCCAAGGCTAGCAGTTTTCCTGCTGTAAATATATCTTGGATGCGAGTTGCCCATCGAACACTGGAGCTATTCACCCAGGTCAGGAGTACTAGAGAGCAGAAAACTTTATTTAGTGGAACAAAACAACACGTTTAAGAACGTACATTGAAAACATGCTAAAAGACACAGAGAGACTACTAGTTTCCCGCTACCAAAACAGATGGATTTCTAGCCTGGGCTTATAAGGGGGAAGCTACCAACTTCAGAGAGGAGCATGCCAGCAGGTCTCCCAGACCTGTCCATAAGGCCAGTTGTTCAGAGAGACTTTGTGGATTCAGGATTCATCCCTTTTCAGTCTGGGTAAGTTTTCTTTGGACTTTTAGTGACTCATTAAGAACTGGTGGCATTTAATATTTTCTACACATTCACATTTAGTATTATGCAAAGACTTAGGAAGTACTAACCCCATTTTTGAGTGCCTTAAAAAATTATTAGTCATCCATATTGAGTCCCAGTACCTACTGGCTGTATGAGTATAGTTCAGAAACAATGATTTTTTTTCCCCCTGAACCAAGTGGCTGGCTCAGATGGGTGGACAAAGGAGAAGTGTCTGAAATCCTTCCCCATAAGCCAGGGGCAGGCAATTATTTTGGGCAGAGGGCTGCTTACGAAGTTTCGGCAAGCCATCAAGGGCTGCATGACAGGCAGGTCAGGGCAGAATAATATTAATTTTCTAAATTTTTTAGGGGCCCTGTGGGCCAGATATGTGGCCCACCAGGCCATTCTCCAGTCCCCAGGCTGCATTTTGCCCACCCCTGCCGTAAGCTATGGCCAGCTAGGAATCCTGTTGCCTGCCCCCTGAATGCTGCTGTGTAAGGAGCTGGCTTGGGATGTGGAAACTCCCCTACCACATTCAGCCTCTACAGTGGAACTGCATTGGTCATGTTGCAAAGGGGCATTCAGGAACCACTGAGAATGGGGGATGATTGGCCCCAAAGAGGGTGTTTATTTGATGTAAACATATGACAATCATATTGGCATGAAGAACATTAGCAAATACTCACATAGACACACCATGGAGAGAACCCTGGAGGCATTATAAGGTGGGATACAATTAGGGAATACAGGTTGCAGAACATAATTGGAAAATGTCAATGCAATCACAGCCAGGCTGGTTGGGTACATGATAAGCACTGCACTCCATAGCAGCAAAAACCTGGAAATGGGAAACACAAAGGATGCTACAATTAAGGCCAGCCATCAGTAAAGCTGTTTGACTCTAAAGCAATTTGGTAACTCGTTTACAGGCGCTTCTGATCTGAGTAGCTGGCTCCCATCAAAACAATCAGTCTCCCTCCCTATTATTTTTGCCACTCAAACCATTTTTTTTACTAGAAATGTTGTCATTTGAAACGCAGCTTAAATGTGAGAGCAGACCTACAGTCAGCATATTGACTTTGCTTTGCATGTCACACTGACAGCATCATCAATTAATTAAATACTGTGCGTGGACTGGAAAAAGTTGTGTTTTCCCATTATATGCTACTACACCTTAAACTAGGCTTCAGGTTTAAGTTATAGTTGTCTTGAGTGCCACCAGATCCTTTGAAAGGTGTTTCAAGGTGTGAGGAAATAAGCTAAGTTGATAAATGCAGGCTCAGATTTGTCTGATCCCCAGCTCCCAGTGCTCAACCCCTCTGTAAGGAGGCAATCACTGTAATGCATGCATTTCTTTTTCAAACGAGGTGCCGCTCATTTAAAAAATGTTACTGAGGTTGCCTTGAGTCAAAAAAAGGAGAGAACTACCCACTTGATAAATGGTTTGAGTAGAGGTGTAAAAGTTGAGAGATATGAACTATATAGTTCAGATGGATAAAGCCATATTCTTGGCTTTGTCCTCTAGTTAGGAGTGCTTCTGGTTCTTTGGATACCCAGCTTGAGACATCTAACACTAAAATATTTGAGTACATGGAAAACTCCAGCTTCTATTGACTTTAGTGATGACTGAAATGGTTGCCCCAAAGTAGCGGACACTTACAAAAATGTAGGTATTAACATTCTTCATTTTCTCTCTCTATGATGGAGACAGAGTTTTAAGTTAACATTTGCAAAATGGTCCAAGATCCTTGGAGGAAAGGCACCATTCAAAGAAAAGTATTATTTGTCTTCTGTTTCTCTCTGCCTAAGATATTTCTCCTCTATCTAGTAGGAAGAGAACTCCCACGCCTCAGCTGCATTCCTAATAAGCAGCCCCCATTCTTAGCTGCCAGGACTTGCTACCTGTTTTGTGATTCTTACATTAAGAAAGAGACACTTTTCTTAATGTATATTGCAATGATTTTCAGATCTCCAAAATGACATCTGCATGGTGCAAGCAGCTGAAAAGCCTTTTGTGGTATAGAGGAATAGGATGCACAAAACAGATACAATCCTTTGCCAGCAATATTTTCTCAGGTATTTTATTTTGTAGTCTACACATAAGCTTCTCAGTGCATGGTTGCTCTCTTATAGGATCTTCTTTCCCAGCATGCTGTTCTGTGGTTGGCCCTTTAAATTTGGCAGAGTCGTGCAGCTGCTGCCCTAAAGCAGTCATTTTGCAACTGATTGTTGGGTGCTGCACATCTCTTCCCCTCCAGCAGGTGGTAAGTGTTCTCCAGTCCTCTTTTGTTGTTTTTCCCCTTGTTGCTCTAGAGAAATGCGGTAGGTGTTTGCACCTCTTCTTACTTACACACCACTGTATCCTTAAGTAAATGAGCTGGCAAAAGGAGCAAACTAGTTACATGCCCAAATGTCAGTTTTAAGAGTGGGGGGAGGCAGACCAGGGGAAAGGAAGTGGGACTGCATTTTCCTGTCTGCACCAACTGGCTTTTTCTTCCTATTTCATACAATTTTCACTGAAGTAATTACTTCACCCAAGTTCTTTTATTAATTTTTAATAATTTGTGGAGCATTTGCAATTGAAAGCCAGTTGTGGAGCCCAAGCCTACTGTGCTAGACTCAAACAGACTTTTACCGGTACTTATCAGTTGGCATCCTGTGGCCCTGTGTGCTATCCATGCCATTACTCACTGGCTTTGGGGCTTGAATTTAATCTAGTCCTTGGTCTTCTCATGCTGGTGCAGTCACCTGTGCATGCAACGGTTGGTGTTTCTGTGGGCAGAACTCCAGGATTTCTCACATAAATGTTCTGTCTCCTTCATACGCAATTGCTAATGGAGGAAAAGATCTCTAACAAGGGTGTTCAGGTGAAAATGCTTCTGCTAAGTGGAAGAAATTGTTTTTCAAGGCAGATTTTCAAATCCTATCTCAGCTGAAACTGGCACTCACCAGTATATTGTAATATTAAGTACATTGAGCTTGATATTTAATACCATGCAATTTGATGGAAATGTGAATAATTCAGTAGACAGAACTGACGGTCAATTTGTTTTGCACTGGACTGAAATACATGCAGGGTTGATAATACCAATTATATTAAATGCAGAATGTTGGCTGAGGATTATGGAGTTAAATCATCAAACAGAGGGTTCATAATTGAGTTCAAATGATGACAGGATAGCACAATTAAAATTTAGGCATGTTTTAACCTTAATTTTAGTGGTATTCTCAAGTGAGTTTTAAACCCTGATTTTGAAAAAGGGAGATTAATGCTACCCACATGAGCCTCAATTAATATTTGTGAAAAGTTCAAATTTGAATTAAGACTGGCAGGAATGAATGCATAATTGATTATCTAGCACCCTGAACCTATTATTATTATTATTATTATTATACTAAAAGTGCCATTGTTCATTATATTCTTCATGTAGCAAGGCTGAAATCAAATGGATGGAGCCAGTAAGATTTACCTAGCAGATAAAAAACCATTGCAAATTAAGTAACATTAAGTAACACAGTAACATCTCCTATGGATGTTGTTATGTCTCAACTGTCATCACTGTTTGCAGTGATGACAGTTGAGACAAATTAGGCTGCAAGGCAGTGGCTTAAAGATATACTTTTTTATTTTTTGGCAGTTCTCAACATGAAAATATCTTACAAAGGAATTTTAACCCATGTTGGAAATCCAAATAATTCAGTTTTGAAATAAAAAAGAGATCTTGTACTCTGTACTCAGTTAATTGGCCCAGCTGTTTGAATGGAAAGCCGGAAATCACTCTCTGCAGTCATTTATCTGAGATAGTCAGGAAAGCAGAAGCTGGAACTGTAGCTGATAAGCTTTCAGAATTGCTCTGTAATTCGTTACACTGGGAGAACCTGAGAAGTTAAATCCACTCTTGTCACTAAGCTAAGAAGGAATCAGATATTTGGAAAAAAGATTTAGTTTAACGTAGAACTTTTCATCACTGATGAAGGAAGTTGGGTGTAAATGGGGCCATCACCCAAGGATTTTTGCTTATGGATAGAGGCCTGAACACTGGAACTAGTTTTGCCTGGCTGCAGCCTATTGTAAGAATGCCGTTCCAAACCTCTTCTTCGTGGCCACGTCCAGACGAGCGTGCACATGCAGGCGTTCCCCACGCTACTACCTTGCAGCATGGGTTTGGTTTTTTTGACCTTGGGAGATCCAAGGATCAAAAAAACCCCACTCCTTAAAAAAGTGGGGCAGTGTACGTGGTGGCAGCATGTGCCACCCAAAACCAGAGCGTAGCCAGCCAGAGCCATTCTCCAGCTCCCGGCTGTAGAAGTGCTGTGGCTGCAGCTCCCCAAGGCCCTCAAGTAAGACTGCTGGGGGTCCTAGTTACCCAGGGTGGGTTAGGGGAGGCTGGGGCTAGTGACTGTGCTGGCCCCAGCCTCCCCTATCCCACCGAGGGTAACCTGCTATGCACCAAAGGGCACATGGCACAGGAGTTTCCCAGGCACAGGTAGCAGTGCTACAAAGTATGCTGCTGCTTCTTGTCCCTGCAAAAACAACTGTACGTACTCGTGTGGACACAGCCTATCGGGCATAAGTCTGGTTGTAAGGCATAGACTGGTAGGAGCTGTTCACCAAAATGTTTGCTCATTAGGTAAGGCCGGTTTGGTTTATTTATTTTTTATTTTTATTTATGTATTTATTTATTGCAGAATATTATCATTTTTATTATACATTTTATTATATGGTTTATGGAGTCCAGGATAGAACTTTTGGTTGCAACCAGCAAGAGCCTTGCCTCTTGGGTAAGGTAACCCCTGTGGTTAGGCCACTTCCCTGGGATGTGGGAGGTGCAGGGACATGTTTCTTCTGCCCTGAGGCCTTGGAACTTGAACTTGTCTACCAAGTACAGGCAGTCATTTGACTTTTCTATGGTAAAAAGGTGTGTGCTGGTGAACAATGCAACAGAAACAAATACGGACGCTTCAAACTTTTTTGGTGAAGCAACTTCAACCCAGCCCTGGCCAAGAATTCTTGAGTTTTAAACTTGTGTCTTTCTGTGACTGTGAGGCCTAGGATATATTACAACCTCACTACAGTTCATTTCTTCCATCTCTGAGAGACCTTCCCAGAGGGTTACTCTGAGGGAGAATCTGTTAATACTTTAAGGATGGGAAGTATAATGTAAGTGCTTACATGGTCACTCTCCAGAAAGTCTCATTTTCTGAATGGACACTTAGTGAATCAAATGTTTTTCTTTATTTATAGAGTGAGTAGGAGGCTCAGATCTTCCTTTTAAGGAGAGTTCAGAAATTTTTATTGTGCACAATCATGGGTCATACTGTTTTGTTTTGTTTTTTTCATTTTGTATAGTGAAGAGAAGGTTGAGTACCTCCAACATTTGGCATTAATCAGGATTGGGACCTAATTGACTTGTAGGTCCCAGGCCTCTTGATAAACACATAATTGGTTATGCATCTGAAATGGGGAGGGACCTGGCAACAGCACAAGATGAGGCTAATTCTTCTCATCTAAATTTCGGAAAGACATTAAAAATGTATTGGCTCAGGAATGTTCTCTCTCTATATTTGGCTTGTGAGATATTCATTGGTTAAATAAAACAATTATTAAGTATGTAGAGAAGGATCCAGGGCAAAATAAGCACCTTCATGGCTATTCTACAGGTGAAATGAGTTTAAATGCAAACTTTTTTTAGTCCTAACATATTTTATATCTCCATATAAAATAATGCATCAGAGATAAAATAACTCTATTGGAACTGAAGCTGATTTAACATTTAAGTCTGCAGCCCATGAAACTAGGGAACGTATCTGTATTAGACTTGTGCATATTTTGCATGC